TTTGGATAAAGAGAAGAGGGAATGGAGATATCCAGTGGATTTAGAAGCTTTAACTAGCAGTTGCAGGCAATGGCAGATAACTAGGTTGCATGCATTCATGCCTTGTTTTTCATCACTTCTCTCCTAGGTCCAGCAGGGAACATACAACAGTATGTACATGATTACTACTCTGTTGCAAGGTTCAAAGCCACATATGCGTATGCATTGCCTGCTATGGAGGGAAAACAACAATGGGACATGGTGGACCCTGGATTCAAGCTTTGCGCTCCAGTTCTGAAGTGAGCAGCAGGTAGACCAAGGAAGAGTCGAATCAAACCTTGCAGCGAAGGAGCTGGACTTGGAGCGAGGAAGCGTAAGTGCACAAGGTGTGGTGGGTTTGGTCATTTCGGTAAGTATTGTGATAACACAGTAGATCCAGCGTTCGGAGAGAGTCTCGATGAAGGCTTTGATGAAAATGTTGGTCAGCAGTCGGTTGCCTCAACAGATGATGAAAATGATGGTCAACAGCCGGTTGCATCAGATGAGGATTTTGACGAGGTTCCAAATGATGATGGTCAACAGCCACATGATTTTGACAATGATCCAAAATATCCTCCAAATGATGATTCAAGTGAGGCTCCAAATGGTGATCCAAATTAGGCTCCAAATGGTGATCCAAGTGAGGCTCCAAATGGTGATCATGGTGATCCAAGTGAGGCTCCAAATGGTGATCCAAGTGAGGTTCCAAATGGTGACCAACATTTTGTTGTTGTGACTTCTGCTAGGTATGTAAATCTTGCAAAACTACTGTACATTTATCACTTGACATGATCTCATTACCCTTTATGTTTTGCACATCTCTGTGGTAGGTTTGAAGAAGACGCACAAGGTACCGACAACCAAGAGGAGAAGAGAAGAAGCAATGAGCACAAGGTGCACGAGGACTAAAGTGATGGCAAGAAGCTCAAGGAACAGACAGAAGCCCCAACGCTATTTATGAATAATTATGAAACATTATGAATAATGTTGTATTTTTGTTGAATGATGTTGGACCTATGTTAGAACTATGTTTGAATGATGTTGGACCTATGTTAGAACTTCAAATTTGACATGCTATATGGATGTTGGAATTCTTTCGAAACTTTGGTAAACGCAGATTCATGAAAAATGTGCTAAAAAAGAGCTCCAAAGGTAGGGTAAACGGCCTCCTTTCTAAGCAAGATTTTTTTGACCTTGTCTATTTGAGCCAAATAACTTTCCTACACATATATTCTATATACAAAGACTATGTGCTGGTTTTTCCTTTTTTTTGATTTTTTTGAATTTTGTTTTGCTCATTTGAATTCTGGTCAAACCTAACTTTGACCAAGATTTAAACAAATATAAAACATCAAAATGAAAAACTAAGCCCGGACGAGGTGTGAAGTTGAAGAAGGTGTTGAAGGGGCGCGCGGACAAGGTGGAAGATGGAGGTCAACATGAAGATGTTCAAGAAGGGGTGCGAGCCCGGAGTCAAGCTCGTCATGTTTTAGTTTTATCGTTTTTATTTTGTTGCTTTTCTATATCATATATGTCGTGTCGTGTCGTGTCGTGTCCGTAAACTTATCTATGGGTACCCATCCATGTAAGGGTACGGTGTGTTGCATCTTATCTATCCAAGTTATTATGTGTGTTAAAAAATGTCCGTGCCTAAACATATCATTTCTTCCCTAAACCAAGTCATGAACTAGCATGCAGATTTATTCCCTTTAAATCCTAAACCAAGTGCCACTCTAACCAAAATCATGTGGCAGTGCAAACATACGTTTGCAACCCTCCAAAATTTCAGTGCAAAACAAAGAAAAACCACTCTCACGCGTGTGCAAACATTCAGTACAAACAAACGGTAACTATGGATACCTTCCTTCCCTACCTATGTCAAAGTCTTTCCATTTGTCCTAGCGGTTACCAGCGCAGCCCTAAACGCCACAAACCCACGCGGTCCTGGGTTCGAGTCCCCAGCCGCACCAATTTTTTGTGCATTTTCCACCCTTCATTTTTTAGACAGATTATTTTTTTCTCAATGTAATGCCCTTAAAAATGTTTATTAATTTTGGCACCAGGTGTAAACCTCTACCAGAGCTGAGGCACATTTTCCATGACATTTTTGTCTTTGATTTAAATCACGGTGTATTTGAATTGGAGTAATTAAATTGCTATTAAATATTTAACAGCTCCAAAAAAATTTCTAAACTTAATTGTTTGGCTCTGGAATAATTCAATTAGCTTCCACAAAAAGTTTCGGCATTATGATTTACTGCCTAAATTAAATCAGAACAGAAAACAGAGAAACACGCAAGAGAACCCCAAATGGGCCTAATTGGATTCAATTGGCCCATTATTCTAGCCGGCACTTGACTCTACGCTCTGAATTTGGCCCACAGAGGAACCTTTTTTTTAACAGAAAGGCAGAGCAGAGAGCTGCATTTCATTGATCAAAAGTTTCTGAATTCCTCATTTCTTCTCCCTTTTTTAACATATTTAAATGTTGGTCACTTCTTCTTTTTCTTTTCAACATTTAAACAACTTTGACCAACATTTAAACTAGGTGAATTTCTCATACAATTTCAAGCTTACAAATTCCTCCATAATTCATGCATTTCCATACAATTTCAACATTACACCCAGTGCGATTACCATACCTACAAATGCCCAAAAGTAATTGCAAATGGGTATTGGTATTTGTGCTTGATCTTCAAGCTTCCTAACCTTCTTCTTCAACATCCTAAGCTCAACAACTAGCTCTCTGTCAGTGCGTGCTTCTCCCTCCATCTCTTGTTCCGGAGCTCATGCTGCGGCCACTGCCGTTTGTGGCAGCATGCGCAACCATTCTTCATGCTCTTCTTGCAGTTCATTCATCAGAGTCTTGGCCAGAGCATCGACCCAAAGAAAGAAGCATTTCACCTGCATGAGCGCCAAACAGATCAACCCATTGCTCAAAGATCCCGACCATGAAAATGGTGCAATTTCCCCGGTTCTTACCCCATTCTCGCTGCACACGTAGAACGGACGATTCTGGTTCCTCGGTGTGCGAGAAACCCTCTGATCAACGCCCGCCCGGCACCGCGGACAGACGAAGACATGCATGTCCACACGCGCCCGGCTCTGCATCCGCGAGGTGGCGCGGGAGCTTGAGGAAGACATGGAGCTCGGAGCTGAAGGGGATCTCAACACCGTCGCGCCCTCCACA